AAGCCCCGGGAAGACCCGAGACATTATCGACCAACTCTTAAATATATACTTAGAAGTTAGAATTGTGTTTAGGGTTTAGGGTTTAGGGTTTAGGGTTTAGGGTTTAGGGTTTAGGGTTTAGGGTTTAGGGTTTAGGGTTTAGGGTTTAGGGTTTAGGGTTTAGGGTTTAGGGTTTAGGGTTTAGGGTTTAGGGTTTAGGGTTTAGGGTTTAGGGTTTAGGGTTTAGGGTTTAGGGTTTAGGGTTTAGGGTTTAGGGTTTAGGGTTTAGGGTTTAGGGTTTAGGGTTTAGGGTTTAGGGTTTAGGGTTTAGGGTTTAGGGTTTAGGGTTTAGGGTTTAGGGTTTAGGGTTTAGGGTTTAGGGTTTAGGGTTTAGGGTTTAGGGTTTAGGGTTTAGGGTTTAGGGTTTAGGGTTTAGGGTTTAGGGTTTAGGGGTTTAGGGGTTAGGGGTTTAGGGGTTAGGGGTTTAGGGTTTAGGGTTTAGGGTTTAGGGTTTAGGGTTTAGGGTTTAGGGTTTAGGGTTTAGGGTTTAGGGTTTAGGGTTTAGGGGTTTCGGGTTTAGGGTTTAGGGTTTAGGGTTTAGGGTTTAGGGTTTAGGGTTTAGGGTTTAGGGTTTAGGGTTTAGGGTTTAGGGTTTAGGGTTTAGGGTTTAGGGTTTAGGGTTTAGGGTTTAGGGTTTCTGGTTTAGGGTTTAGGGTTTAGGGTTTAGGGTTTATGGTTTAGGGTTTAGGGTTTAGGGTTTAGGGTTTAGGGTTTAGGGTTTAGGGTTTAGGGTTTAGGGGATTACGGGTAAACGGGTAACGGGAAACGGTATTACGGGAATAGGTAAACGTTGATACTGTGATACTAAACCTTGAAAACGTGTTACAGGGTATTATGGATAGCAGCATGATGTAGCATCGCACGGGATCCACTCCCCCAAGCCGCTCGCTACGCGTAGCAAGTTCGCCCGCCCCAGCCACCCAAGGTACAGACTTTTAGGGTTTAGGGTTCCATTCGCGGTGGAACCCTTGAACGGGTTCCAATCCAACGCGGCGCCGTCTGAAGCAGCTGGGCTGCCAGCTGCTTGCCCTGCTAAACTTCTAGCCTGCGCAGGCATGGGTGGCGCTGCGAAGCGCTAGTCCTTTTTCGAGTTGCCCAGCTTGCGTAGCGTTGCGCGATGCGCTGGCCTGGGTGCGGGCTGCGGCGGCAAGTACCATGTAGACGGCGTCTACATAATCCTCAGCGTCCACAAGGCGGGCGGACGACCAAGCGCCGCGTAGACGCCGTCTACCTGACCCTGCTGCGTTTGCCTGGCTGCCAGCTGCTTGCCTCGCTAAACTTCTAGCCTGCGCAGGCATGGGTCGCGCTGCGAAGCGCTAATCCTTTTTCGAGTTGCCCAGCTTGCGAAAGCCGCAGGTTCCACGCGAGCGCGTTGCGCGCTGCGCTGGCCTGGGTGCGGGCTGCGGCGGCAAGTACCATGTAGACGGCGTCTACACAATCCTCAGCGTCCACAAGGCGGGCGGATGACCAAGCGCCGCGTAGACGCCGTCTACCTGATCCTGCTGCGTTTGCCCGGGCGTGGGCCGCGCCGGCAAGCGCCGTGTAGACGGCGTCTATAGAGTCCTCAGCGCCCGCAAGGTGTTGCTTCGCTAACCTTTTCCTACGTTCACGCTGCAAAGCGTGGAGTTGCCAAGGCGCCAAGCGCGCAAGCAAGCCGCAGAACTGAGCGTGTCAGGCGCTGCGCTTGCGCGGGGGTGACCTGCGCGCACGCTTCGCCGCTTCGTCTGAAACAAGGCAATCAACAGCGCGAGAAGCAAGATCGACAAAGGTCCTTGTGCTCGGCGTGCGCTCCCGCCAGCTGGGGCAAGCCCCCCGTGTTACCCGTATGCAAAAGTTATCCACAGCGCGAGAAGGGATCCACAAGGCTCCTTGTGCTTGGCGTACACCCCCCCCCCAGCCGGGGCAGGTCCCCATATTACCCGTATGCAAAAGTTATCAGCGGCGCAAAAAGCGGCCCGCCGTGTACCCCCCCCCATCCGGGGCAGGCCCCGCTATTACCCGTATGCAAAAGTTATCAGCAGTGCACAAAGCGACCTCCGTAGCCAAATGGTGCAGGCTTTAGGGTAATCCTATATTGGCTGCGCCAAAGGGTGTGGGTCGTCGTGCCACTTGCAGAGCCGCACAGCGGTTGTCCTGCTAGGCTTGACCCTAGCAGGCCCTCAGGTTCGCACTGGCGTCTCGGCTTAACCTCGAGCCCGAAGGCTCGCATGCCCATGTATATGGCCAGAGGCATGCTCGCCTGTTTAGGGTTTAGGGTTTAGGGTTTAGGGTTTAGGGTTTAGGGTTTAGGGTTTAGGGTTAAGGGTTTAGGGTTTAGGGTTTAGGGTTTAGGGTTTAGGGTTTAGGGTTTAGGGTTTAGGGTTTAGGGTTTAGGGTTTAGGGTTTAGGGTTTAGGGTGTGACAGATGTGTCCGCTCGCTCGGGTGGAACAAACCACCCCAAGCCGCTCGCTCCCGCGGGGGCCGTATATCCCACCCACGACCCACTCCAGCCACAGCTCTTTTAGGGTTTAGGGTTCAAGAAACTGAACCGCTAGGGGCTTTCCCGACCTCCTCCTCTTGCCTCTCCTGGCGATGTCTGGTTGGCCCTGACCCGCACGGGCGCGCCGGGCCCGGCAGCGCGAGGCGAGCAAGGCGACGGCGAGCGCGGCCGGGCGGCGGCGCGCCGGGGTAGAGCTTAGTCGACAGCTCCGCCGCGCTCTTTGCGGCCGCAATCTAGAGGGTTTTCGCGGTCGTCGCTAAACGGCGTGAGGCTTTCCTTTGTTTCCGAGGCCCCGAGTGGCCGGAAATTTCTGACCGTCGCGAAACGGTCCGTGACTTCTGGCCTTTTTAAGCTGCCTAAAAAAGAAGGCTTTTCTGTGGCCGGCGGACGCGCGTGGGCCGCACGCCGTTTAGCGATAGCCCGAAATTCCCGGGCGCTCGGACGATCCAGAACGCGGGAAGCGCTAGGCCGTTTAGCGACGCGCTCTAAATTTCTTCTTGGCTAAGGGCCGCTAGTAGTTCCAGCTGCGCCGGAGTCAAAGGGGGCCAGTTGCAACCAAATGAAAATTCGGAGAGCGCCGCTACACGGCCCAGCGCATGCTGCCCCCAGCGCCTGGAAATTTTGCTGCGTCGCTAAACGGCCTGCGACCGGCAAAGGTTTCTCAGCCATCAAGCTTCCTATTGAAATGCAGCTTCACAAAAAAGCGAAAGCCGCAGGCCGTTTAGCGACGACCAAAAATTTCCGGCCGCGCAGAGCGGCTAAGCCTTCACTAAGGGTTCTTGCTAGATGGCCGAAAGTTTCGACCGTCGCTAAACGGCTCACTCGAGCGCCTGAGCAGTCCCAGAACGCAGAAACCGCTGGGCCGTTTAGCGACGGGCCTAAGTTTCCGCTTTCGGCGGAGCCCCTAGATTTGGCGCCCGGATGGGCGATCCGATATCGCGCCGTACAAGCAGTTTATCAGCGGCCTGACGGCTGCGAAAACACGGGCGCGGAGCCTGTTAGTTTAAAGCTTTCGTTAAGAGCTCTTGCTAGGCGCCCTTACTAGAGCCTTTGCTAGGGGCCTTTGCTAGGCCTTCACTAGAGGCCCTTACTAGAGGCCCTTACTAGGGGCCCTTGCTAAGGGCCATTAGTAGGGGTTCCGAGTAGCCGCGTTTTTTAGCTTGCGGCGGAGCCCAAAAGTGAACCCCTACATTTGGCGCCCGGACGGCCGATCCGATATCGCGCCGTACAAGCAGTTTATCAGCGGCCGGACGGCCGCGAAAACACGATTTTTCGGGCGCGGAGCGTTGTAGTAAAAGCTTTTGCTAAAGCTTTCATTAAGAGCTCTTGCTAAGCGCCCTTACTAGAGCTTTTCCTAGGGGCCCTTACTACGCCCTTATTACAAGCCTTTACTAGAAGCCCTTACTAGAGGTCTTTACTAGGGGCCCTTGCTAAGGGCCATTAGTAGAGGTTCCGAGTAGCCGCGTTTTTAGCTTGCGGCGGAGCCCAAAAGGCCGAACCCCTAGATTTGGCGCTCGGCCGATCCGATATCGCGCCGTACAAGCAGTTTATCAGCGGCCGGACGGCCGCGAAAACACGATTCTTCGGGCGCGGAGCGTTGTAGCAGAAGCCTTTGCTAAAGCTTTCACTAAAAGCTTTTGCTAGGCACCCTTACTAAAGCCTTTGCTAGGCCCTTACTAAGCCCTTATTAGAGGCCCTTACTAGAGGCCCTTACTAGAGGCTTTTACTAGGGGCCCTTGCTAAGGCCCATTAGAGCCCAAAAGGCCCCACCCCTAGATGTAGCGCCCGGATGGCCGATCCGATATCGCGCCGTACAAGCAGTTTATCAGCGGCCGGACGGCCGCGAAACACGATTTTTCGGGCGCGGAGCGTTGTAGTAAAAGCTTTTGCTAAAGCTTTCACTAAGAGCTTTTGCGAAGGGCCCTAGTTGGGGTTCCGAGTAGCCGCTTTTCAGCTTGCAAGGAGGCTGCAAAGCCGAGAAAAGGAAATTCGGAGCGCGTCGCTAAACGGCCCAGCGCTGTCATTGTTTTTGAAAGCCACCAGCGCAAAGAAATTTTGCGTCGTCGCTAAACGGCCTGCGACCGGCACGCCCTCCACGCCCATCAAAAAGGCTTCTAAGGAAAGGCAGCTCGAAGAGAGCGAAAGCCGCAGGCCGTTTAGCGACGATCAAAAATTTCCGGCGACTCGGGGCCTCGGAAACAAGGAGAAGTCTTGGGCCGTTTAGCGACGGCTGCAAAAATCCCTTAAGGGTATGGCCGACATGGTGAGCGTGGCAAAGCGAATTCAGAAATCATAGAAAGAACAAATAACGAAGTGACTTGCGTGTTGACTTGTGGCTTGCGAAGCGTCGTCTTTCCTGGCCAAGATTGAAGCAGCCTGTTTTGGATTTGTGTTCCGGCAATCAATCTTTCCAGCGCTCGAGCCGTTGCTAAGAAAGTGACCCCCCAGGTTGAAAACCTTTCGCGCCCCTGCCAAGCAAACATGGCCCCTCGCAAGTGCGTTGGCTTTGTCGCGAATGCGGAGGGCGAGGCGGCGGACCCTTGTGTCTTCAACGGAAACGGGACGGGCCGCCCGGCGAACGCGCTGACCCACGGGCGCTGCGTTTGGTGCTGCCCGGAGGAGATGGCCCGGCGGTTGGCGAGCCCAAAGCTTGAGAAGTTTCTCATCTACACGCTCGTCAACTTCAACCGCGAACGAAGAGGTCTTTGAGAAGGCGAAGGGGCGGCTGCCGGAAGATCGCACGGCGGGCGTCTTAGCGGAGGTCGACGCGCGCCTGGAGCCCGAAGAAGAGAAGTTGGAAGAAGATGTGGAAATGGCGCTGGCGGAGAAGGAGACTGAGGCGGACGAAGAGGAGGAAGAGGAGACGGAGGCGTTGGAGTGCTTTGCGGAGCTGGGCGTCGTTGCCGACAACCTGAACGACGGGGAGGGCGAGCTGGACATCGATGCGGTCGACGTTGGCGAGGTGGGCTTTGGCGACGCGCTGGGCGAGGTTGACGCGCCGTTTGAGCCTGCGGAGGACGCCGAAGCTGAGGTGGAAGAGGTTGCGCTGAAGAAGAGGCGCCTACGTGGCAAGCAAGCGGCGCCCGTCTACGGACCGCCGCTCCCGCTACCTGCGGCGGCCGCGGCGGTTGCAGAAGTGGCGCTGATGGGGCGCGCCGGCCAGCGGCGTCGGGCGAGCCTCGCGCCAAGTCACCAGTGCTTAGGCCGAGCAGGCGCAGGCTGCACGTGGTCCAGCACTCGTCTTGGGGAGCCAGCCGAGATCCAGCCGGGGCGCGGGCAGACACATTGCGTCTTGCGCAGCGACGCGCAGCTTGACAAGAGCCTTGCCCAGCAACGCGGCTTTCAGTTGACCAAGACCCTCAAGGCGCTGCGGGAGCTCGACGACGCGAAGTACGAGGCGGCGCTGGAAAACTTGAAGGGTCGGAAGGGCGCGGCCTTTGCGGCGGACTTCGACGACCGCGTGGGCTTCGCCATTTATCGCGCGGTAGAGCGCGAGCAAGCGCCGCGCAAGACCGTGCCGGAGCGCTGGAGCGAGCTCCTGCAACGCCGCGTCCGGGCCCAGGCGCCGCCGAACGACGACGCGTTGATGGCCTACGAGCAGACAGTTCGGCGGGATCAGATGATGGTCCGACGGAAGGTCTTCGTCCGCGACTGCATGAAGAAACGCTACAGCAAGGAGAACGAGAAGGCGGAGCTTGCCCGTACGCCCCTGCCGCCTGCGAACGTCGCCCCCAACGACAGCGGCCTGCCGGCGCCGACCTTGAGCGAGCGAGCGAAAATGGCGGAGGCCTGGTGCAAGCACGGCTCTTGGCAGATCTGCGAAGGCTGCAGCAGCGTCCGGCCACGGCCGCTCCAGCCGGTGGATCTTCGGAGCGTCCGGCAGCCGACAATCAAGAAATGTCTCCTTTGCCAGCGCGGCGTCTACGTCCCGCAACCAGAGGATGTCCCAGAAGCGCTGCGGAACTTGCCGGACGAGGTAATCAAAGCGCTGCGGCCTGTGGAGGTGGATAGTGGCCGCTACGAGCGGGCGGAACACGGCTACCGGGTCCACACGACGATGATTCGCTTTGCTTGGGCAGCAGAGAGCGTCGGCGCCAAGATCCAAGCGCTGGAAACGCACGATCTGCGCAGCAAGGCGCGCAAGGCCTTCCGCTACCTTGTCCGGTCCGACGACAGCGCCTACGGCGACTTCATCGACAAGCACGAGGAATTCTTGGAGAAACACCCAGGAGCGCCAGAGCAAGTTCGGAAGAGGCCTCTGCGGTTCATCGAGGAGCAGGGGCTCGAAAACGCTGTCTGGCCGCATCTCTACTGGCACAAGAACCTTTGCGAAACGGTCGTCCGCGCCACAGACGAGCGTCGACGCGTCGGGACGGGCCTCTCTGACGAGGAGGAGCTGGAGGAGGCAAGCGAGGTGGAGGATGGGCCGGCGTTGCGCAAGGGGCGCCACAGTGTCCGACGCAGTTGGATGACGAAGGTCTTCAGCCCCGTTGTTGGCTACTCGGAGGACTTTGAGTTGCTCCACTTTGTATACGATCTGGTGCTGTGGAGCAACCTTGGTGGCTGCAAGAACGCGACGCGCGGCATGCCCCTCCGCTTGGCCGTCAAAGGCTCGCCGATCTTTCCGGAGTACTGGCGAGTCCGACACCAAGGTCTGATCGACATGCAGCGACAAGCGGGAGCGCCAGCGCTGTTCCGGACGCGCGCCCCGTACGAGCGCTCCTTCCCTTACCATCAATGGGTCCTGCATGAGATGGCTTTGGCCAGGCGAGGGCGCTTGGGGCTTGCTGGGCCTGAGACACTCCACATGGCCCACGTCTTGAAGGAGATGGACCGCGGGTTCTTTGCCGGCAAGAACCACAAAGGCTGGAGGGATCATTTGCTTGGCGCTGAGGATGCCGAGGAGCGCCCGAACACTGTTGTCAACTACTGTTCTCGACTGGAGTTTCAGGACGGCAAGCGGAAGCCGAAGGGCCAGCAGTACCATGGTCGAGGAACCGTCCACTCGCACTCCCTAGACTTCCTTGAAAACAAGGCGGCTATTAGACTGGAGACAAAAATTGCGGCTGTGGAGCCGGCGGAGGCGGAGCCGCTGCTTCGGGGGCTTGTCTTGGACTCGCAACGGGACCGCAGTCGCAGCCAGGTTGCCGTCCGCGAGGAGCCGTCGACGTGGGACGATGAGGTTGGACGAGTCCGCTTGCAGCACCAAGAGGCTGACTTCCACAAGCACATTCGGGCCTATTTTCGGGAGTCGATGGAGGTGACAAAGTGCCACGAGGATGTCCAGATGGCGGACGGAAGACACAACCTGCTCCGCTACGTGGCCACCTACGCCCCGAAGTTCAGCGGGTCCTTCGCAAAGGATTGGTTGAACGACGATGCCTCTGACTACAGCATTGCCAGGCGCGTTGCCTTTGACTATCACCCCCTTGAACCGGAGATGTGGCTGACGCTCGCAGGGCAGCTCTTCCCGCAGATCTCATACGGGGGGACGCTGAAGCCGATCGTCGCGCCCTACCCGGAAATGGGCGTGAAGCCCGACTACGTGGAGCGCTACGAGGAGAGCAGCTGGCGCAGCGAGGGAACCAGCCTCCTAGACTTCCTCCGCAAGAGCAACGACCAGGGCAACATCATCCAGTACTTGAAGAAGACCCACGCAGCGCAGGCGGCGCCAGGAAAGTCGTTGGAAGAGTTTGCAAGGGCCTACCACCCGCGAGGCGAAAAGCTGATTGCAGCCTCCACTGTCAGCCGCCTCCGGGACCTCTACTACGGCCAGTGGATGGCCCTCCACGTCCCCTTCCGGAGCCTCGACAAGCTGCTGCTGGAAGACATTGTTGCCCGCGTTCCGGAGAAGCTGAAGTTCTTTGCTTGCGCCCTAGCGCAAGCGCCCGACTACTGGGCCGACGAGCCGCGAATCCGGAAGGACATGGAGTTGGAGGCTTACAGCGATGACCGCATCGCCACGGTTTTGGGCTGGATCCGGGCGCAGCGGCGGCTCGTCGAGCGATACCTGCAGGGCGAGCTCGACCCGCGCGAGGAGTTGGAGGTGGAGGGCGACAGCAAGCGAGCAGCGTTGCGGCAGGTTCTGGACCCCTGCCAGCAGCGCCTGAAAGCGCTCGTGAACAGGAGCGTGCAGCGCAGCATGGAAGCGCGAGACGCAGAGGACGACGAAAGCTACGAGGCGGCGCTGCGTACGGCGGAAAACTCCAAGATCCTCGCGGCGCTCGGGCCGCCCGGCTCCGGCAAGACGGCGGCCGTCCACGCCTGCGTCGACGAGTGGAAGGCGCGTGGGGCGCGCATCCTCCTTGCGCTGCCGACAGGCCAGCTTGCGGCTGAGATGCGGGCGAGACACCCTGACGTGGATGTCGACACTTGCCACGGCGCGTTCCTGTTCCATAAAGATCTGAACGAGGCGCTCCCAATCCTGACGCAGTACGACTTGGTGGTCGTGGACGAACTGTCGATGTTGAGTGGTGAGCACATGGACCGCTTGGACGCAATGTGGCGGACGGCCGACCAGCTGCCTTGCCTTGTCATGTTGGGCGACTTCTGGCAGTTGCCCGGCCCGCAGAAGGACGCGACGAAAGTTTCCGACAGCGCAGCCTGGCGACACGTGAAAATTGTAGAGTTCACCGGGAACCACCGCTGCGAGGATCCCAAGCTGGCGAAGAAGCTGGCGGCGCTACGGACCAGTGTTCCATCGCAAAAGCTTCTCAGAAAAATCGCGAGCCAATCCCACCGCGCCTGGACGACCAAGGAGCCGACCGCTTGGGACATCTTGGAGCTTGATCGCAAGACGGGGGGCGAGACAACCGTCGTTACTTGCAGCCGACGTGGGGCGCAGCTTGTAAACGAGCTGTCCGTCGAGGTCTTCTTCAAGCAGCGCCACAAGAAGGTATTGACGGAACTGCCCACGGATTGGGAGAGCAACTCGGCGAACTACGACGAGCGCGGGCGGCTGTTGAAGGATGGCCCGCCTGAGCCCGCAGCCCTGGAAATCTTCAAGGGCCAACGCCTATTCCTCACGAAGAACATGAACAAGGAGGCCGGGTTTGTGAACGGCATGCCATGCATAGTGGAGGCTTTTGACGTGCGCAGCGGGTGCCTGGAGGTGGTCACGAAAACGGGAGCCCGCTTGGCCGTCTCGGCCATTCATGAGCATGTGGAGGGTCTTGGGCGCGTCAAGTACTACCCCATCCGGCTGGGCTACGCAAGCACAGTCCATCGCATTCAAGGCCAGACCCTCAACCACGCGACGATCTGGCTCGACGTTGTGGGGTGCAAGGCCGCAGGGTATGTTGCCTTGTCAAGGGTGCGGCGAGATGGCGACTACCTCATCGCTGGCCCAGTGAGTGCCAAGTGTTTCACCCCAGCCATGTAAGAGTAGAGCCCGCTGAGCCAACGCTGCGAAGGCTGAAAAAAGACCGGGCTTGAAGATTAGTGGGACGAAGGAAATTTTTCGACATTGGGACTTGGCTTCATGCGCACGCCTTTTTCCATGCTTTGTATTTTGAAAGTCAAGCTGGGCGCCAAATGAGGTTTGCAGCTGGACTTCGGAAAGGAGCCAAATGACCAGCTCTACATCTTCAGCCTGCATGGCTATTTTGACAGTGCGCCATATTTATCAGCGGCTGGCCAAGAAAAGAAGGAAGCAGATCTTTGGATGGCTTTTTTTTTCCATTGCGCCGCATGAACAGTTTATCTGCGGCCAAGGTCAAACTGAAGGGGCTTGCTCTGGCTGGCCCGGGACAGAGCTAAACCAATTCTTAAGGCTTGCGCTTCCCGGAACCTCGACAGAAGCTTGCGCTTCCCGGGACAGAAATGGAGTCCCCGGGACAGAACGCCGAGCTGGCGCACGGGTGCTTGTTAGGGTCGCTGGCAAAAGTCCTTGGCTTTAGGGTATTACACTTTAGAGCTTCGCTCAAGGGCGCCTTCACGGGCGGCGCCCGCATGTGTCCCCTGGATGCCTTGCCGGGGGGCCGCAAGCTTTGGCGCAGGCTCACGCCGACTAAGCTGTATAGCGGCCAGCGGGAGGCTTTACCCTCCCGCAAATGGTTACACCGTCAGATCAATCAGTGGGGGCTCTCACAGCTCAGCTGCTCGGCCGCTGCCTGGTCTCGGCAGCCGCCGCTCGGCCGGCGCTGTATAGCGCGAAAGCCGTCCTCGCTGAGTTTAGGGTTTAGGGTTTAGGGTTTAGGGTTTAGGGTTTAGGGTTTAGGGTTTAGGGGTGGGGCGCGCGCCTCGACGCAGAGCGTCGCGGGCGGCGCGCGCCGCGCGTTAAGCGGTTGACCCACCCCTGGCCACCCATTCCTCAACCTCACCGGGTTTAGGGTCGATCGACCCCCTTTAGTTTCCCCCTTTCTTAGGGGGAACACACTCAACAAACACCCCTCGCGATAGCCGAATAGAGACAAGGCGCGTGCCAAAGTGGCGCTGAAGAAACGGTTCTTGTTCGGCGCCACGGCCCGGGCGTGGGCCTTAGAAAAGATGATGATTTTTTGAAACCTCCCGCGCGCGGCAAAACACGCCTGCGGGCCGGACCATTTTCGGTGTAGTTTTCAA